GTCCGTCAAGTCGTCGACTGGGTCTCGGTGCGCGGCGACTGGAGGCGCGGTGTAAAGCTTTGCAGCACCACGACGTCGTTGCTAGCACCCTCCATCTCGCTCCATCGAGAGTACTATGAAGAGGAGTTTCGACCTAAATCAGATCTGCGTGCTAGTTTATAAATACACGTGTGTACATACTATAGGGGTAGGGTTTCTGCGCCGACCGACGGAGAAAGCGTTCAACCTCGTGCACTCGATCGAGGAAGCGAGCGATGGCGTCGACAACGGTAGAAAGAAGGTACTCTGCGATCGTGCTAGCTCATGCTGGGAGTCATGGAACGCAGCAGCATCGGCGTACGGCGTGTGAAGCTAGTACAGGTCAATCGCCCAGAAAAGCATGCATTGCTCGGTCTTTTGTGCTTTATAAATGCAATGCAATGTAGAAGTGCGAGCCGTCGCAAGGCGCAGTCGTGACCGAGGGAGCCTTCGTTCTGCACAAAGCCACGGGGCAATCAACAATTTTTTCGATGGCCCCTTGCAGAGCCCACCAAAGATGATGTTGTCCCGCCTAGTCCATCTCGCTGCATTCTATTCGTACCCGGTGCTTCGTAACAGCATCGGTCGTGCCCAAGGGTCCCTCAAAAGCTTGTATGGACCCTTGGTCGTGCCCGACATTGCGTGGGTCTGTCCCACGCGTTGCGGCGGAACGGGCGTGGCGTCTTTCTCCCTATAAATAGTGTGCGTACACTAAATGCATTTTCACATTTCAAAAAAATATCACTGGCTTTGTAGGCACTACAAAAACACGTTGGTTTTCGCAGCCAATCAGACGCGCGGATCGCGTTGTGTGTCAAAACAAGTCAGTCGAGTGGGGCCGCGATTTGATTGATGGAAGCGAGGGTTACATATCCAAAGTCAATTGGCAGGGCCGAGCTCCTCCCACTGCTCGCTGCGTCAGGGACGGCGCCACCGACTTGTTGTACCATAGCCACTGTATCTATAAGCCGCGCCAACCTTTGCTGGAGAAGATCATGCACACCACCCATCCCCGCTCGTCGTCCCGCCCGCCGTCGCCGTCGCCGCCCGCCGCAATGGCTTCGCTCTTCTACGACGACCTCGACTTCCTCGGCCGGTGCGCACGCATGCATCGCATGCCTCCTCTCATACGTTGCCTGTGGATAGGAGCTACGACGGCGCGATGCCCCGCCTGCACGAGCCGGTACGTCATGGCAACGATAAGCCAGCGACGTTGACGTGTGTCTGTAGGAGCCGCCGCGACGCGCCTACTATGACGAAGCGCCGCGAAGTCTGCCCAAGCCGCGCAAGAACAGCATCGAGATGTTTCTCTCGCAGAGTCCGTCGCAGCACCTCGGCAACGACTTTTTGCGCATGACGCTCGACGAACCGCCGCAGTTTTACCTCAATCCGGAGCTCGCGACGTTTGGTCCGCCGAGTAGCGCCGAGACGACGACGACGACGTCGACGACGGACGCGTGGTACCAGCAGCGGTCGTATGCGCCCGAGCCGGCGCCCATGTACACGGCGTCGTACGCGCCGACGTCGGCGCCGTCGATGCGGTCGCAGCAGCAGTGGTCGTCGCGGCCGTCGCCGCCGCTCCCGAGCTACCCGTCGTCGTTTCGAACGAGTGCGCCCCGGTCCGCGCCGCGCTCGTTCCCGCTCGGGAACCGGACATCGGGGCTCTTTGACTCGCTCAAGTCGCCGCTCAAGCCATGCAAGTTTTATGCCCAAGGCCACTGCCGCATGGGCACCAAATGCAAGTTTGCGCACCAGCTGCCGACGGCGCCGTCGTCGACCGCGTCGTCGGCCGCGTCGTTTGAGGACGAGTACGCGTCGTACCCAAGCTTTCGGCCGACGGGCCACCAGCCGAGCAGCCTCGACCCGTCGTCGCTGCCCGAGCTCTCGCCCAACGTTGCGCTCACCGTCGACGACCTCTTGGGCCGCGTCTACGCCATGGTATCGCACGCATGACCCGTCGCACATGTGTTGTAATAATGCTGCTTCTAGTCGAAGGACCAGAATGGGTGCCGGCTTCTCCAAGAACAGCTCGACGGCCGGTCGGACCTCTGCGACGTGATTTACACGGAGGCCGTCCCGCATCTCGTCGATATGATGGTCGACCCGTTTGGCAACTACCTCTTCCAGAAGCTTCTCGAGCGCGTGACCGACGCGCAGCGGCTCGTGATTGTGCAGCACGTGGCTGCGCACCTCGTCGCCGCCGCGCTCAACTTGCACGGAACGCGGTCGGTGCAAAAGGTGGTCGAGGTCTGTGCGACAGACCGCGCGCTCGCCTCGCTCATCGTCTCGGCGCTCGAGGACGACGCGGTCCGTCTCTGCATCGACTCGAACGGGAACCACGTGATTCAGCGCGCGCTGCAGTTTTTACCGGCCGAGTTTAACCAGTTTGTGTTTGACGCGGTCGCAGCCGACTGCACCGTCGTCGGGACGCACCGCCATGGCTGCTGCGTGCTCCAGCGCTGCGTCGACGCGGCCAACGAGCGCCAAAAGCGCGCGGTGATTGCCCAAGTCGAGCGCCACGCGATGAAGCTCATGCAAGACCCGTACGGCAACTATGTGGTCCAGTACGTCCTCGACGCGTGCCCGAGCGACGAGACGGTCGGCGTCATGGCGAAATGCGTCGGCCACCTCTTTGAGCTCTCGGTCCAAAAGTTTTCGTCCAACGTGGTTGAAAAGTGCCTCGAATTGGCCCCGTACGAGCTGCGCCAGACGTTTGTGAAGGAGCTCATTGCGTCGCCGCGCATGCAGCGCATGCTCCAAGACCAGTTTGCCAACTATGTGGTGCAGCGCGCGCTCTCGGTGGCCTCGGACGAGCACTGCCTCTGCCTCGTGCACGCGATTGCACCCCACTTGCCGTCGATGAAGAACACGTCGGGCGGCCGCCGCATCCAAGCCCGCATCCTCAAACGCTTCCCGCATATGGTCGAGATGGCGATGCTCGGCGAGGCCCTGCCACTCGAGACGCCGCCGCCGCTCTATGGCCGCGTTGCGTAGCCGCCACACTAGTTCCAACATCCTGTATCATTAATACCCGACGTTCTTCTGTGTCGTTGCTGCCCTTGCCCGACGCTGGGTCGGCCATCTCCGGACGTGGGTGTGTCCTCAGTGCGCCCTCTACACAACCATGGCGAGTAACACTGTCGTGATCGCGCTACTGCTGTCGTTGCATGCCACGTCCGAGCCGAGGTGGCATTACGCCGACCGTTGCTACCTCTTTTTGTAGCTGGCTCGTCTACCCAACGCGGCGCGCCATGGCCTCGCCAGGACTTTGGGCGGGGGCTATCTTGGCATTGCCCAGTGCACGCGCCAGCCTCGTGCCACCAGCGACATACTCGGTTCGCATCGACGACCTCGTCCCACGCGCGTCGACCAGCCCATGGACTGCCCATGGCCCAGCCCCCCTGCCCATGGCCCACCATCGTCGTGCTCGCCTGCGCCACCGTTGACATGACCCTGTCAATGAGTTTCCAACAGGTGTGTTTTAAACACATTTGGAATCGGCTGTTGGAAAACCGGCGCGCGTAACGGGCGGTGATGTCACACGTTCTCAGTCGAAGGCCCTCGCTTCGATGCAATACAATGCCTTTGCATACAAACACCAAATAAGAATAAAATAAAAGATGGGACGTGCCCCCTCGAAACTTCGCCACGTGGTGCAGTGGCAACTGGCCCCTTCTTGGCGGCGCGGCTGCGTTTCTTGTCCTTGTTTATTTTAATATATGCGTATTTCTATGGAAAGCAGAAACAAAGTGGATATTAATATAAGACAGTGGATGCATTTTAATACACTGGCTGGCTACTACACGGCGATTGGTGTAATCGGGAGACTCCTCCTCATCTCTTGGACTGCCGCGGGTACAGCGGAAGGACGAGCCCGCCGACGTCGACGACGCCCGAACCCGACCCGCCACGCCGCCGGCGACCTCTGCCGACCCGGACCGAATCGCATACGTCTTCTTCTGCCACGATGGCCAACGACATGGAGTCGCTTCACTTGCCCCGCCTCGACCTTGGCATCTTCAAGAGCAGCTGCCGGTACCTCGAGCGCATTGGCAAGCCTTCGATCCCGTTCCAGCCGCCGGCGTGGGCCCTCCCGGCGTCGCGCAAGCCTGCATCGGTCGCGCTCATCGACGTCTTCAAGCTCAACGAAGTCATTGCGAGTGTGAGCGTCGACACCAAGTCGTACTTTGTGTTTGGCCGCAACGCGCTCGTCTGCGACATCGTCTTGGAGCATTGCTCCATTTCTCGGTACGCGCGCGCCTTCATGATACGATGTATGCTCACGTGGATGCATGTAGCATGCACGCCTGCTTGGTGCACCACAGTGACGGCTCAGCTTACATTGTCGACTTGGGCTCTTGCCACGGCACATTCATGGACGCCGAGAAGCTCGAGCCCCTTCGACCGACCCTCATCACGCACGGCGCCCAACTACGGTACACCCACGACGCTCTTCGCGCGACATGAAGTGGACGATGGCCATGATGTGTAGGTTTGGCGTCTCGTCGCGCTCGTACCGCTTCAAGGTACACACATCGACTATGACAACATTCGGCTAATGGCATCCTCCGTTGTAGACGTTTGAGTCGCGCGAGCAGATTCTGCGCCGCCTCCACGCAACGGTCGGGCTGCACGACGACGAGCGCTTGCTGCAGACGAATACGCTGTTGAACCGCTTCGTGTCGTACCGGCTCGACGTGCCTGCCCAAACGCACCAGTCGGTGGTGCATCCCCACAGTAGGCCTCCCGCGCTGCGAACCGTGACCTCACGTGCTCGTGCAGAGGCCGCGAACCGCGTGGCTTCCAACTCGACCGACACGAACGAAGACACGTCGCAGGTCGAGGACGAGTCGTCGTCGTCGTCGACGTCGTCGCACCGCCACTCGGCCGAGAACCTCGACTCGTTTGCCATGGTCGACATTGCCGAAGAGCCATCGCAGCGGCCGCTCGCGTCAAGGAAGCGCACGCGGCCGCTCTCGGCGACAGACCGGACCAACCAAGTGTTTTTGACGTTCGATATGAAGCGCGTCCAGTTCGTGGTCGACCCGCCGACGATCATTCCGCCGCCGCCGCCGTCGGATGAAGCGTACGATCAGCACGCTCGGAGCCATGTCGTCGCCAATGAGCCTGATGATGTAGCGATGGAGTGTGACGACGACGACGAGTATGCAGCGGCCGTCCCGCCGCTTCTGAACTATGGCCCGATGGGCGACACTCCCATGGACGAGTACATGATGGAGAACCCTTTTGCGACCGTGGCGCCCGACTCGGGTCGCTGTGCGATGCCGCTGAGCCTTCAGTTCCCACTCTGCAGCGACCGCCCGTCCCTCGACTTTGGCCGGCGACGATCGACGATCGGCTAAGACGACGTGTAATATTATATTTCTGTGTTCGACTTGGCAGTGACGCCAGCCGCTGACGACCGCCACAACTGGGAGCGGTCGCTGGCCACTGGATTTTTTGTGCTCCATCCGACGCACCGAGGACTCGGGCCTCCACGCAGAGACTGCAGTGGAGAGGGAATCGAGTAGCATCATTGGCCGACGAGATGGCGGCGGCGACCCTCGATGGCGTAGCGTAGCTATCGCTGTCGCCCACCCGTGTCTACGATCGCATCTGGTTTGGCGCCACGCCGTTCGACAGCGTTGGTTTCACGCACGCAGACTCACTCTCTTTGATACACTCTCCTCGACACACTCTCATCGACGTGGCAGCTCCAGCTCGGAGGCACTTTGCGCAGGTTGGTGCTGGCAACGTATTCGGCGACGAGTCCCGGGCAAGCTTCCACCTTGGCTTCTAGATGGCTTGTGCAAAACTGATGTGTAGCGCGTCAGTGCATGCATGTCCAGTGCGTCGTCCAACACCGGTGGTCCAGCGGTGTACTATCCGATTCGGTCGATGGAACTTTAATCGCAAGGCTAATAGTTTCGACAAGAGGAAATGAATCCCCTTGGGTTCGAATGGGGCTATCGATTCTTCGTGTACCTTCCATCGAAGGTTCAAAAGACGACTGCCCCGTCGAAACTTGACGTGGCCAAGTCGAACGCTGGCCAACGACGTGCCGACTTGAACGACGACGACGTGGTCGAACCTGCCTTTTGATTTGTGCATGATCCGATTGTACCCATCCAGGATACACATCAAGAGCAGGGATATTCGCTTGACGCACATCCACGCCACAATGATTCAAAGAAACAGTGGCCGACAACCATCACGAACACTCAAAAATTGGCGCCAATGACGTTGGCACGGACGGCTCTGGACGCGCGTTGCTGTCTCTGGCTCATCGTTCGTTCGATCTCGCCCATGATGGGCCCACCGCATTGCATGGGCTTGGACAGCGTTTCTCAGGACCAAGCGCCAGACCGGTACCGTAGCGTAGGTTCATGGACGTCCGCATTTCCGCATGGCAGATGCCGATACCAATAGAACTGAAAATACCAGGTGATAGTCGCACGCCATCATCGCCTGCATGGAGCCTGCATGGGCCTACTTGGCCAACATCGACAACCATCAACCAAGGTCCAGTATATCTGTTCTATCGTAGCTATAAGTTCTAAAAGTTGGCGCCCCTCTCGATCGCGTTCACTCTCACGACGACTCTCTTTTCCGAGCGCTCTCCCGTCCGTTGCGATCACTTTCTAGCTGTTAAGTCCGAACCGACTGGCGCACGAACGCGCACTTAACCGAGCGTGGAGCCTTTGTAACTATCCAACGTCCCACTAAGTACCGGTATACGTTGCATTCGAATCGCACTTGTGCGGATCCGAGACACGTCCCACCCTCCCGACCACAAAATTACAATTGTCGAAAGAAGATCATCCTTACAAATACCAAGCTATAAAATAACCATTGAGCACGACGCAGCGGACCAAGCCAGTTTCGTATTAAAAACCGGGCCGGTTCGTGTCACACAAAAAGGGCGGGCTCGTGTCTCTTGGTGTTTGTATGAGAGCGCTGTATTTAATCGCGTGAGTAATAAATTAAAAATTGAGCGGAAGATCGAACCGGAGGTTCAGCCAGTCGCACAGTCTATTTCATTACCCGACGCCGTAGGCCCACCTCGACCCGTCCGATCGAGCAAGGTAGACGCGCTCCCTCCATGAGGTCGACCATGCGAGCGCGGAAGCTCATGGAAGCATGCTACCCTAGGCCTTCCCGTCGACGTACATGAAAAGCCAGTATTCGACTTCCTCTGCCGACCCCCTAGCGACAAGCAGAGCGTAGCGATGCAGAACAGCGATGCGACGCGCCCGTCGGGCCATCGCCGTGCGACCAAGAACTACTTCCAGCTCGAGTCCGACACGAAGCGCCAGAGCATGATGCAAGACGCCAACGACCGGTTTGGCAACCGCCTCTCGATGATGAACGTCTTGCCGCAGCAGGACCAGGCCGAGTTCCAGGACGAGCGCTCGATCGACTACTGCTGTGAAGTGCTGCAGAACAAATTCGGCCTCCAGGACGGGTCGGTCGACAACCAGCGCGAGCACGTGCTCTTGCTGCTGGCCAACTGCGCTGCGCGCGCCGGAACGGGCACGGCCGACACGCAGTATCACGTGCAGCTGCTGCACACCAAGCTCTTTGGCAACTACAAGGAGTGGTGTGGCTTTGTCGGCGTCAAGCCTGTCGCGTACGCCGAGCGCCTCTCGGGCACGCCGCTCACGTCGCCGCTGCACATGGATCTCATGCTCTACTTTCTCATTTGGGGCGAGTCGGCCAACTTGCGCCACATGCCCGAGTGTCTTTGCTACTTGTACCACCAGATGCTCTCGTCGCTCCTCCAGGACGACCAGCACCAAGAGCGCCGTCCCCAACAGTGGTTCCTCCAGGCCGTTGTCCGTCCGATCTGGAAGGAGTGCTCGGTCATGCAGAAGAAGAACTCGCTCGGGCTCCACTACGAGCACACCAAGGTCCGCAACTACGACGACATCAACGAGTTTTTCTGGAAGAAGGGCTGCCTCAAAATTGCGATCGACCAAGTTGCGCAGACGATCCACAAGACGCACGGCAAGACCTTTTTCGAGCACCGGTCCATCTTTACGCTCATCCTCAACTACTACCGCATCTTCCACTTCAACATCATGTTCCTCATCGGGCTCGCGGTCATCAACTACGTGGTCACGATCTCGCCGAACGGTGGCAAGTCGGGTTTCGACCAGTTTAGCACCATGGGCAAGGTCGTCTCGCCGTACTCGACGCGCGAAGTCAAGAAGGCGGGCGTCGTCTTCATTGGATCGCACGCGATCCTGAACGCGTTCAAGTGCTTCCTCGAAGTCGGCCATGGCTGGAACCTCCTCGTGGACCGCCGGTCGACGTCGGCGACGTCGTCCAAGTCGATGACGTACGGTCTTGCGCTCACGCTGCGCTTGATTTGGAACCTCGGCTTTTCGGTCTCTTTGGTCTCATGGCGGTCTCGGCTGTCCCATCGGCTGGCGCGACCGACATTCTTGCCAACCTGTCGCTGGCCTCGCTCGTGTACATTGCGCCCGGTGCGCTCATTCTGATCTCGCAGTCGATCGCGCCGGGCCCGACGCGGACGCTCGGCTCGAAGTTTATCCGCGAAGGCGACTCGTGCTACACGGGCCGGCACATGGCGCCGCCGCTCTCGTACCGCCTCAAGTATGGTCTCTTTTGGATTGTTCTCTGGGTGGCCAAGACGGCCGTGTCGTACTGGGTGCTTATCTCGCCGCTCATGCTCGTGTCGCTCGCGATCTACGAAATGAAGCTCACGTACAACTCGCCGATCTCGTCGTTCCACAACATGGGCATCATTGTCGCGCTCTGGGCGCCGGTCGTCTTCATCTTCAACTACGACACGCAGATCTACTTCACGATCTTGCAGGCGCTCATTGGCTGGGTCAAGGGCGCGATCATGAAGGCGGGCGAGATCCACGGTATCGAGAACCTCTCGAAGGCCTTCCGCGTTGCGCCGCAGCTGTTCGACCAGAAGGTGGTGACGGTCCTCGCGCGCTCGACGGACGCGGCCGAGATGGGCGATCAGGCCTCGCGTGGCAGCGTCAGCGCGGTCTACCAGTCGCAGATGATGCTCCGCTTTGTCGTGGTGTGGAACGAAATCGTCAACTCGTTCCGCGAAGGCGACTTGGTCGATGACAAGGAGGCGGCCATCTTGCAGTACGACATTCAGAACACGGGCGAAGTCTTTGAGCCTGTCTTCCTCTCAGCTGGCAAGCTCGGCGAGGCCATGACGTATGCGATGAAGCTCGGGAAGGGCGGCCGCGGCGACTCGGAGCTCCGCATCCAGCTCGTCAAGAACGACTGCCTCTCGGCCGTCAAGTCGTTTTTCAACGCGTCGATGTATGTCATGGAGGCGCTCCTCGGCAACGACGACGTCGAGGTGCTCGAGGCCTTCCGCATGATGGAGCAGTGCGCTTGCGACGGCGCGTTTCTCCAGTCGTTTGACGTCGGGTCGCTCTTGCACGTGCGCACGATGGCGATCGACTTTTTGGAGGCTGTCCTCGACTTGCCCGACCCCGACACGCCGTCGCCGGTGTTGCCGGACACGGCTGTGCACCCTATGGGCATCATCCGCAACTTCGTGGCCAAGACGGAGAACCTCTTCAACGCGCTGCGCCAGTTTTGCCGCAACCAAGCGATTGGCGGCAAGTTTGCCAACGTCAACTTTGTGCAGCCGGCCAACTCGTACGTGTACGCGTCGCGTGGGCTCGTGAACCTCTTCCACAGCGACACGGCCATGGGTGCGGCGACGCGCGCGTACCTCCTCATGTCGCTCGACAAGCCGGACGCGATGCCCAAGTGCGCCGAGGCCCAGCGCCGCCTCGGTTTCTTTATGAAGTCGCTCTTGATGGACATTCCGCAGCTGCGCGCGATCCGTGACATGCGCTCGTTCTCGGTCGTGACGCCGTTTTACAGCGAGGGTGTCATTTACTCGCTCGACGAGCTCAACAACCCGCTCGAGAACCACCCGATCTTCAACAAGGGCGAGGAAGTCAAGAAGAACATTTCGATCCTCAAGTACCTCATTACGATCCACCCGGAAGAGTGGGAGAACTTTTTGGAGCGCATTGACGTGTCGTCGGTCGAGGCCGCGATCAAGCAGTTTCCGATGGAGATTCGTCTCTGGGCGTCGTACCGCGGCCAAACGCTCTCGCGCACGGTGCAGGGCATGATGCTCTACGAAGACGCGATCAAGATTCTGCACTGGCTCGAGATTGGGTCGAGCGCGCACCGCACGCCCGAGCAAAAGCAGCAGCAGCTCGAAGACATGGTCCGCCTCAAGTTTTCGTACATTTGCGGCTGCCAAGTCTACGGCAAGCACCGCGCCGAGAACATGCAGCAGGCCAACGATATTGACTTTTTGCTGCAGACGTACCCCAACTTGCGCGTCGCGTACGTCGACACGATTCCAACGAGCAACGGCAACCGCTTTGACACGGTGCTCATCAAGGCCGAGCAGGACGAGATTGTTGAAGTGTACCGCTACGAGCTGCCCGGTGACCCGATCCTCGGCGAAGGCAAGCCCGAGAACCAGAACAACGCGCTGCAGTTTACGCGCGGCGAGTTCCTCCAGACGATCGACATGAACCAGCAGCACTACTTTGAAGAGTGCCTCAAGATGCCGCAGCTGCTCGTGACGGCCGACATGCACCCGTCCAAGAAGCCGGTCAGCATCATCGGTATGCGCGAGCACATCTTTACGGGCAACGCGTCGTCGCTCTCCAAGTTCAAGTCGTGGCAGGAGCTCGTGTTTGTGACGCTCAGCCAGCGCGTGCTCGCCGACCCGCTCTACGTGCGCATGCACTATGGCCATCCCGATATCTTCGACAAGGTCATGTGCCTCACGCGCGGCGGTGTCTCGAAGGCGTCCAAGGGTATCAACTTGTCGGAAGATGTCTTTGCCGGTTTCAACACGACGCTGCGCGGCGGTGTCGTCACGCACGTCGAGTTCATGCAGTGCGGCAAGGGTCGTGATGTGGCCATGTCGCAAATTTCGATGTTCGAGGGCAAGCTTGCCAACGGGGCCGGCGAGACGTCTCTGGCGCGCGAGGCGTACCGCATGGGCGCCTTCATGGACTTCTTCCGGCTCAACTCGATGTACTACTCGCACACGGGCTTCTACTTTGCGACGTGGATGACGATCGTGACGTCGTTTGTGTACATTTACTCGAAGGTCTACCTCGCGCTCTCGGGCGTGCAGGAGCAGATTGTCGAGAAGATGAACTCTACGTTTATCATCCGCAACAACTCGATCTACGGCTTTGACGACCGCGCGTACTACGATCTCGCCAACGTCATGAACACGCAGTACTTCATCCAGGCCGGTCTCTTCCTCACGCTGCCGCTCATTTGCGTCTACTTTTCCGAAATGGGTCTCTGGCGCGGCTTCCTCAAGTTTGTCAACATGGTGCTTACGGGTGGTCCGGCGTTTTTCGTCTTTCAAGTCGGCACGACTATGCACTACTTTGACTACAACATTATCCACGGCAACGCCAAGTACCAAGCGACGGGTCGTGGCTTCAAGATTACGCGCGAGACGTTTGTGCTGCTCTACAAAGCGTACGCCAACTCGCACTACCGCAAGGCGTGGGAGCTCGTCGGCCTCTGTTTTGTGTACTGGGCGTATGGCGAGTTTACGCTCGGCAACCGCGACCAAGTGGCCGGCGATCCGACCAACATGTTTGCCAACAAGTACAAGGACACGTCCCAAGCGTACGGCACGCAGACGTTTGCGATCTGGTCGATTTCGGTGCTCTGGCTGCTCTCGCCCTTCATCTTCAACGCCGACGGTCTCGACTACGAAAAGTCCAAGGCCGACATCACCGCGTGGTGCAAGTGGATGTTTATGCAAGAGTCGGACACGGACATTGACAAGGTGCACACGGGCGGCTGGATCAGCTGGTGGAAGGGCGACCAGCAGCAGATGCACGGGTCGGCCATGATTGCGCGCTTTACAGTCGTCATTCGCGAGTCGCGCCACTTCTTGCTCATGTGGTACGTCATTACGCTCAAGCACGAACCCGCCAAGATTGCGCTCGTGCTCGCGGCCGTCGGCGCGTCGCTCGTCCTCCTCGGTGTCGCCCACGGTGTCGGCATGGGCATGCGCGGTGCGTCGCCCGTGGCGCGCGCGGCCGTCTACTTCTTCCTCGTCGTCGCGCTCTCGACGGCGTACCTGGTGGTTGCGTCGACGGTGCTCTTTGCCAAGGACAAGGACGGCAACGCGGACCCGGAGGCGTGGGAGAAGAGTCTGAGCATCTTCTTTGGGTACATTGCGGGCCTGTACGGCATCAACGAGATGTTCCGCGTCTTCAACTTCCAGGCCGGCGGCGTTGCGGGGATTGTCGTCTTTCAGCAGCTCGCGTTCCTCTTCGACTTTGTCTTCGGCGCGTGCCTCCTCATCCCGCTCATGATTCTGAGTTGCATCCCGTTCATGAACGCGATCCAGACGCGTATGATGTACAACGAAGGCTTCTCGAAAGTGCTCTCGGCGTCGTCGCAGCACGCGTTCTCGCTGGCGGCGGCCATTGGTGGCGCGACGGGCTTTTCGTCGGGCTGGCTCTTGTACCTCCTCACGACGCTCGACATGTCGCCGGGCTACATTAGCTACCTCTCGACGTACAAGATTGCGGTCAGCACGGGCTCGGGCTCGACGACCTACATGGTGATTGCCGCCATGGTGGGCGGTTCGGTGCTCGCGGGTGCGTTTGGCTTTTTCCTTGGTCGCCGCATGACGCTTGTGATTGCGGGTCTCCTCTCGGGCTGCGGCTGCTTGGCGCTGAGCATCATTCCGTCGGTCACGTCGAGCTCGGCCAAGCTCATGCTCATGCTCGGTGTCGTGCTCATGGGCGTCGCGCTCGGCATCCTCCTCCCGACGGTCACGTGCTACATTTACGAGATCTCGACCGCCGACATGCGTGGCAAGACGATGCTGCCGCTCGCGTTTACCTTTGTCGTTGGCACGGCGTTCGCGTCGTGGTACTCTGCGGGCGAGATTGGCTGGGTCTGGCAGGCGTTTTGGTGCGCGGTCATCCTCGCGATCATGACGCCGATGATGAACATGTTTCCCGAGTCGCCGCAGTGGGTTCTTGAGCGCAAGGGCGTCGAAGAGTGCGAAGCCGCTCTCGGCATTTTGCGTCAAAAGCCCGACAACGCGGACGAGCTCCGCGAGATGCGCGAAGAGAAGAAGGAGGCGGCGGAAGCGGCGGCGGGAGGCGGCATGTACAAGTTTGTGGTCGCGTTGTTGCTGACGATCATCTTGTCGCTCTCGACCAACTCGCTCAACATTTTCGTGGGCAAGACGTTCAACGGCTTTGCGGACAACAACCACATGTTCACCAACTGTGTCGTCATTGAAGCGTTTGGTGTGCTCATCAGCTTCTTCCTCATTGAGAAGACGCCGCACAAGAACTTGCTCTCGTTTACGCTGCTCGCGGTGGCGCTCTTTGCCGGCTTTCTCGGCGCCGACGACAAGTTTGTCATCATCAAGCTGGAGAATGGCAACCGCAAGCTCATCTTGAGCCTCGTCATGTCGTTCCTCTACTTTTTCAAGGGTCTCGGCCTTACGTCGGTGCTCTGGGTCAACATTGCGGGTCTCTTCCACACAAGCGGCCGGTTCCTCGCGGTGCCCTTTCTGTACATTGTGTTCTTCGGCCTCAACGCGGCGTCGCTCCAGCTGCGCCTCAACAAGCAGACCGAGACGGCGTACCTCTGGCTCTTTGCGCTGGCGGGCTGCTGCCTCCTCGCCGTCTTCTTTGTCATTGTCGCGGGCTCGCGCGCGTCGAGCGGCCTCATGTGCACCCGCGACGAGATGCGCAAGGACAAGAAGCGCACGGAGCGCCGCCGCAGCTCGCGCCACTCGCGCACGCCCGGTAGCTTTGGCCGCGGCCGTCACTCGCGGTCACGCTCCAAGTCGAACGCCAACAGCTACCACCTCGTGCACTCGCCCGCGAACGGCGGCCAGCACGTTTAAGCAGCCACTGTGTTTTTTGATATCACTCGTTTATACATGCACATTTGCCCAACACGTTTTCTCTTGTACGCAAGACGATCGGAGGACGACGCACTTTGGAGTAGCCTTTCTCGTCGCGGTCGAATCCCCAGAGCTAGTCATGCCCTTGTTTTCACTATCGAATCTCGACTCAACCTCTCGTCGCCGTCGAATCCCGGAGAGCCAATCATGCCCTCTTTACTACTGACGCTCGACTCCACGGTGCTGTACACTCGCACGACTCTATACGTCCGTCCTAGCTTCTACTTGTGCGAAGCACGCGTCATGAAGTCCCTGATGGGGTCACAAGTCGTCGACTGGCACGACCAACCTGTCACAAGACCACGGTCCACGACTCGAACGCTCGTGCCATGCGATCGATGTCAAGCACAAGGTGGTTCTCGTAGTGTACACAGATTCTTTGGTTTAGAAACTATCGACTTCACGCGCAGTTGATGCGGTCGGATCGGTCCGTGGCCTCGAGAAATTCTTTCCAGACGACGGGAAACAAATCGGTGACGTCGTGCTGCACGGTCTTTTGCGCGCTGGCGTTGCCATCGCAGCTCGCGAGCCGCACCGATGCGACGTACGTCACAAACGCTTTGCCGAGGTCGCAGTAGGCCTGCGCGTCTGCGTCTGCGAGCTGAAGCCAATTCGTAATCGCGACAAACCGCTTCTCGAGCTGCTTGTGCGTCAGTGCGAGCGCTTCGTCCGGCGTCATTTCTTCTTTTGCCCAGCACCGCGACCAGGAACGACTTGGCCTTCTCGCGGATCGCGCGCAAACTCACGTACCACGCCGTCTTGTACTTTGGAGGCCAATGACCGCACCCGAGCCATCCACATACAAGTTGACCTTGCCTTCGGTCTGGTAGCCGGTCTTGATGGCGCTCAGCACGGCCTTGAACTCGGCGCCCGTGTACGGCACCACGTCGAACTGCACGGTGCGGACGCCGCAGTAGCGCGCCAGCGCATACCCGAGCAGCGGGTTCATGCAAATCTCGACGCCGTCCTGCGACCCGAGCGTCGGGAATGAAAAGCCAAAGAGCACGGGCGTGTCGTCGGGCACGGCAAGAAGCTCGACGTGCTGGTGGTTGGGGCAAAGCAGCTCAAACGACGCCGTGAGCCGTGTCTGCCATAAAAACTCGCAAAAGATCGAGCGCTTCGCGGGCGAGAGTCCCTCGAGCATGCGCAACAGACCGTACGCGACGGGGCGCGCGCCCGCAAATGGATTTTGGCCGTTGGGCGAGCCGACCGCGATCGCCTTTTCAATGTCGGACGTGGTTGAAATCGCCATGTGCACGTTCTTGGAGCCAACAAGGTAGACAAACGACCCGTCGGCCTTCTTGAGGACGGCGAGGTGGGCCGCCTCGCCGTTCTCCTTCACGGTCGAGATGACCGATTCCGTCTCGGTCGCGGGTTTTGTAAAGTACTTTGAGAGCGCTTCCGAGGCAATCGAAGCGGCGGCTTGCGTGGTGTCGCCGGCGCTGAGCTCGCCGTCGTCTTCGTGGCCCGTAAACTTGGGGTACGCCCGCACGAGAGGAAAGTACGCGGTTGTCGCTGCGTCCAGCGCCCACTTGGCCACGTAGTTGCCGCGCGGGTAGTACTTGCGCGCGTACTCGTCGCCGTTGTAGATGGCGTCGTCGGGCCGGCCGCGCGCGGCGACGCGGATGTCAATGCCCACAAGGCCTTCCAAGAAAGGCAGCATCGGGCGCTCCGTGGCCATTGCAATCGGTGACGCGATCGCCTTCTCGACGTGCTCGGCCCACTCGGCGCTCCACTTGAGCACCATGTCGCGGAACGGCAATGGCGCGCCGTCGGGCCCCGCGTGGCGGCTGCGCATGTAGGCGCGGATCTGCTCGAGCCTACGGGATGCGCTTAGGTGGATGCTGGCAGCGCATGATGGGCGTACCCGCGCGTGTAGTGGATCGCATGCTCGGAAGGCGCGTCCATGAGGAGGGCTTCCACGACGCGGAGGAGCGCGGGCGAGAGGCTCGTGTGCGTCGGCGCAAACATCGAAAAAGGCAAAGTGACCGCGACCTTGCAAATCGTCTATCCGGATAGACCATCACTCGCGCCCGATCCTTATCCGGACAATCGCGCGCCGAGTGATGTTGTGTCCGAAGCGCGGGTGGTCGCAAGGGCACTGTCAGCCTTGAATTGAGCTTCAAGTAAGTGAGCTTTTGTACCAGAGCAACTGTGCTGGCATCGCCGAAAGCGACGGTCTCCGGTCCTTTGCCGCTCCACATAAACCATGGACCTGGCATGGTTCAGCAGCATCTGGAGTAGTTGACGCTTTGACGACAAAGCTCATCAGCTGTAGAGGGTAGGAGTGCGGGACAACGCGTCTGACATAAAGATCGGATGCACCAGACAGACCCATGACCCTTGATGCCCCGCTGCTGCTGGCAAGATTTTTACCGCTGGAAATTATCGATCCAATTGAGTTTGATAGTCGGAGAGCGTGAGAATGGAAGATGTACGACGCGGCGACGCCACGCCAGTTCAGCTACACTAGCGAGAGAGTGCGTTGGAGGTTGAGAGGATCGTGAGGATGGCTTATGACGCAACGACAGTCCATGCGTCGACTCTAGAGGCCGTCACTAGCATCGCAGAGATCTTCGACGAGCGCATCGCTGAAGAGCGAGATGGTACAAGTGCTCTGCGTGTGCAAACTCAACCTCGAGCGTTGCAGCGTCGCGAGGCTCGTCTCTCGGTCATCTCGTGCACCAGTCGACAAGACCAACGCACGTGACAAATGCGCTCACATCGGCCAAGCAAGGTTGACACTGAAGCAGTGCATGACGCTGAACCTCTGGCGTTGCCGGTGCGATGATGGGGACGCCAACAGTGCTGCAACGAAGCTAAATCCTGGGTCTAATGTACGTGACGATGCGCTTCATTCATTCGCTTTGCACTAGTGCTGTGCGGTAATACATTGAACGACCTACGTGCTTGAACGCTACGACTAACTGGTTTTACGAGGCACGCGTCGAAAGATACTCATAGATGTCCTTGTGGCCATGGGCTAGTGCTGCCTCGCACGTGCGCGCGCTGTAGCCTTCGCTGCGATGTGTCACGAGGAATCGAACCACATCCAAGTGACCATTGAGCGCCGCGCGGTCGACGGCGCCACGGGTTGCTCCGTACGTTCGCTTCTCGTGCAGAAAGACCACGATCGCCAAATGCCCGTTGGCGGCGGCGCCATCGAGGGCTGCGACCGTTGCCCCTTCGCGGCGTCGTGTGTGGAGGTATTGAACGACGGTCAAGTGCCCTTCGGATGCTGCGCCATCCATCGCGCGCGTCGAGCCGACCACGTCCGTGTGGTCAGTAATATGCTCCACGACGTGCAAGTGACCCTGTCGCGCCGCAAGGTCAAGAGCGTGCCCTGTAAGGCCACTGTACCCGTTGGCGAGGAAGAATGTAAGCGTCGCGAGGCTGCCGCGCAGTGCGGCGAGGTCGAGGAGGTGGTCGCACGACGATTCGAGGCGATAGTGGGCGTGGACAAAGCGAGCAATGTCGACGCGGTCGGCGTACGCTGCGTGGTACAGCACCATGTAGCGCATGGGCGGCGCGTCACGAAGAACGGATAGAAGGCGAGAGGTGCCGACGGCTGCGTACCAAGGCGCCAGCGCGGCGTCGACCGCATGCAGTTGCGGGAGGAGCTTGGTGGCGATGTCGCCGCCGATGAGGCGGTCGCAGTCGGCCTCGGTGAAGACGCGGAAGCGCAGCACGTCTTCGATGACGCCATCTTGGTACGAAGCGAGAAGCGCAAAGAGGTCGGCTGACCGCAGCACGCCCGAGCTCGCCACCGTCATGACACTTGGAATCTGCATGGCGTCCGCCAGCACCACAAGAAGACCATCACTCATGCGATGAAAAATCCGGTAAAATTAATTAACTGTAAATGCAAATCTAAAAGATCGCTATTGGACGGGCGTTGTGGCACTCACGCGGAGGCACTCGTCGCTGTGCATGGCGAGTGGCGGCGGCGTCTGCGGCGAGCTCGGGGCGGTGAATCGCTGACGCATGGCCTTGGCGATCAGTGCGATTCCCACAACGGCGGCCACACACCCGGCAATCGCAAGAGCTGCGCCGGGCCCCATGCTGCCGGAGGTAGTGTCGGCGCCGTCGGCCAGCGCTCGGAGGCTGGTCTTCGTTGCCTGGGTGTCGACCGTCGCGGGCGTGGCGGCCGTCACGAGAGTAAGAATAAGAAGCAGGGCGAGCTGAACCAAGTGCATGCTGCAGAGGTGGCAAATTGGAAAGTGATCAAGTGAGAAAACGGCATGCAGGAAATCTTTTGGTGGCATCCGACCTGTCTCGTCCAATCATAGGCCGTGATTTCGGCTGTCCCAATCGGTGACACTGAAATGGCACACATTTCAGCCAATCAGGTGCAGGATGTCGATCCAGTGCGAAGGCCAGAAGCATCCGCTGCGTTCCGTCGACGTCGGTCGTGTGGCCGCTAGTGTAGCTACTACCCACAACTCGCGGAATCGGAGCGTTGGTTATATCAGCCAAGGTTGCAAAGCGCCTTTTGGGCCGTCTTGGCACCCAAGCTTTCTCGCCCGAGAGCTACTCACGCGGCCCAGACGGGCGGCGCCTCTTCAAGGTGGCGGAGATGGCATGGCCAAGGGACACTTTTGGTGCAGAGTGGCAGTCAACGTAGTTGTCACTAGACGCCACCGAAGCGGGTGGCGCCGACCAGCGGTCCCCCAGTGGCGTGCGGCCTGCGACTTTCCATATTTTGTACACGATGCCTGCGACGTTTCGCAGTGTTTTCACATTTCGTGGGCACGAAATCGATTTTTAAAATTTGCATTTTGGGCTGTCTTTGATTTCGTTTGATTTGCTTCTTGTCGCTGGTTGTTCAAGTCACCGGCGCTGTATTGGCAGGCAAGCGCTTCTCGATGAGGCAGTAGCGGTTTCGCGCTTCCTCCCGCGCGATGCCACCGAGCAGGGGACGGAAGCAATCATGAGAAAGGGAATCTCCTGCTGCTCGTGCTCAAGGAACCCGTCGTTTGGCTCGAGGTCATTCCATGCATACATAACTCGGCGAACGTGAGCTGTCTACTGGTCGTCGACGCAGTTGGCGTTTTGTAGTTTAACCTTTCATCAGTGGCGCACTTGCTACGCTGCATGTCGTTCGACGCATCGAAAGACGCGATGGTTCTGTTCGATCGTTCGGAATGAGCGCTTTCGGCGTTCAAAATTCTCGTAGTTCGCACCACTGACAAGGCTGTCGCAGGTTCGTGGCTGCGTTGCTCGAAAGCAGCACGTGCAGCACGTACATATGTTTTACAACTGATGTGTGTACATAAATGTCTTCTAATCTTTTTTCCAATGATAGGAACGATTGCCAATCGTCCAGGCACTCGATGGCGGCGGAAACAAAGGCAATGGCCAAAACGTTCGCAGGATTCGACCCATGGAATGCACTGGCCTTGTGTCTGCGGGCGCGAACCCTGCTTGGCCACCCTACCGCAGCCAAAGTACTAGTAGCTCTCCAGCTCAAACCTCCAGACGAATAGCACCGAAACACTCAGTCCATGCATGTACTGTAGAGTACAGCTTGAGCACCAATACGGCGTGTGAAAGCAAGATGCCACCAATGTGGTCGCGGGTGGGCTGCACTACTTATATATATGAACGTGTTTCGCGTTATCTTCGTTGTTACAAAGAGTTCGCATACGTAGAGACTAGCAATCTCCTTCTTCATTCGCTCGCCGGGCCGTGGCTGCGCAGGCGGCGGCGCGGGGGCTCGACTTGTTCTTCTGTAGTCGCGCGGGGACGCTTGTGGCCGCGGGTGAGGCCCATGATGACAAGCTCCGTGGATTCTTTCCAGGCTTCGCGATTGGCGGCAAAGCTACGCAGTCTGTTGAGGTCCTCGAGAGACGCCAGCGACTGAGGCAGCGTCAACGACTGGAGGTCGCGGTGTAGGACGATCGGCAACGTGATCTTGGTGCGGCCTAAAAATTGCTAGTCTCGCAAAGGACTGACACAGGCGGTCGACGACAGGGTCGACCGCCTGCGAGGAGAGACGCCCCATCATAGATGCGGCGCCGCTCACTCTGGGACGGAGTCACCCGAACCCACCTACACTACTTACCTTTTAAAAGTCCAAACTAGCAAACGGTAGTCCAATCGTAGACACTATAGGGTAATCCATGTAGCGCAAACGGGAGGTTAGGAGGAGGCTAGTGTCCGGAGTCAACGTCAGGTGAGCGGGGCGCTGGGCGGTGCTTGCAAACGCGTCCAAGCGACAACGCCAACACCTCGACACCTGCTTGACATAATTCATGTAGTACGCTTGTATGGGCAAGAGCCTTTCTCGGAAGGAGTTGGATCGTGGATGCTTGCAACTTGCCACTGTATTTCGGTGTTCACCATCGGCAGGGGTAGGGCTGGGGTCTCCTCGCTTTCCGAGCCTTGTAGGACTCGGCCACACGACCAATGGGTATGTATGCTCTACTGCCTACCAAGAGCGTGTGAGCCGTGTACAGTACTTTAGTAAGGCACGCCTGGACTTCACTGGCCAAGCGTCCATTGTAGCAAGCTGGTATCCGATATAGCTAACCCTTGCCGGTGCAGGCGCTATCATTGGGCTCATCGAAGTTGGTGTTGGACCAGCTTGTAGCACGACCACAGCGCACGCTTCTGTCTTCCGCGTGTACACTCGCATGCTCTGCTATCGTTTTTACGTCAATTGGAAAGGCCACGCCTTTACGACAACTTCCGCTCGACCTAAATTTAACTCAGTCCCATTTCTGCTGCCGTTGCCATGAAGAGCGCTGCGATCCTGCCACCGACGCACACCGCGGGCGACGACATCATTGACGGTACGCCGTGGTGCCTTCGTCTCGCTGCAATGGCGCTGGACGGTTCAACCGTAGAGGACAAGGGCGCGATTGTGCTGGCGACGCTCGAGCTGCGCCCACTCGAGCACGCCCGCGACGACGTCGCCGCCGCCTTGCGCTCCATCGACGACGCCGACTGGTACGTCCAATACGAGGCGATCGAGACCTTTCGCCGGGCACTCGTGCACCACGCGCCGACCGCGGGCCCGCACCTCGGCGACGTCCTCGCCATCTTCTCGGCCGCGAGTCTCAACCTCCGGTCCGCCACGAGCAAGAACGCACTCCTTGCGCTCGCCGAGTGCTTTGAGTTTGGCGACGTGACCGCGCTGCCGCTCCTCCATGTCGTCCAAGCGCTCATGAAGCGCGCCGCGTGCGAAAAGAAATTCCTCCGCGACGCAGCCACGCTCGCGATCGCCAAGCTCACGACGCACGCGCCGACGTGGCCCGTCCTTGTGGCGCTCGCGGCCTACTCGTCGAGCAAGAGCGCCAAGCTCGTCACCGCCGCGTGCAATGGCACGGTACGTCTCATGGTATCTGCAATTATAGGCCCTCTCAGTTCGGATATCCTGTAGATGCTCTGCTTGCTCCAAATGCAAGTTGACGCTGCAATCTTGAACCCGACGCAGGTAAGACGCGTCTCGTAGCGTTGCATGCCCTTGACACTGTCCTTCTAGATCATCGAGGTGCTGCCGGCGCTCGCTCGGTTCCGCAACGGCAAGGACGCCAAGGCCCGCGAAGATGCGCTCGTGGGCTTGAACGTCGTCGCGTCGTTTGCCGGCGGCAGCGATATCTTTGAGAAGCTCGTGAGCACCGCAATTGCCGACAAGGTCGCCGCCACCAAGGTCCTCCAGG